CACCCACTTTCAAATGGGTTTGTTTTTTTCTTGTAAATCTGTTTTAGTTCTTTGTAGATTCTGGATATTAGCCCTTTGTCAGATGGGTAGATTGTAAAAATTTTTTCCCATTCTGTTGGTTGCCAATTCACTTTAATGATTGTTTCTTTTGCTGTGCAGAAGCTCTGGAGTTTAATTAGGTCCCATTTATCTATTTTGGCCTTTGTTGCCAATGCTTTTGGTGTTTTAGTCATGAAGTCCTTGCCTATGCCTATGTCCTAAATGGTTTTGCCTAGGTTTTCTTCTAGGGTTTTTATGGTGTTAGGTCTTATGTTTAAGTCTTTAATCCATCTGGAGTTAATTTTAGTGTGAGGTATCAGGAAGGGGTCCAGTTTCTGCTTTCTGCACATGGCTAGCCAGTTTTCCCAACACCATTTATTAAACAGGAAATCCTTTCCCCATTGCTTGTTTAGCAGTTTTTTTTGAAAAAAAATTAATAAAGTAGATAGACTGCTAGCTAGACCAATAAAGAAAACAGAGAAGATCCAAACAAACACAATCACAAAGACAAAGGGGATATTACCACTTACCCCACAGAAATACAAGCATCATAAAATACTATAAACACCTTTATGCACACAAACTAGAAATTCTAGACAGAATGGGTAAATTCCCAGACACATACACAGTCCCAAGACTGAGCCAGGAAGAAATTGAATCCCCCAATAGACCAATAACAAGTTCTGAAACTGAGTCAGTAATAAATATTTACTAGTTTGATAGTAAATATTGAGGCAGTAATAAATATTTACTAGTTTGGTCCAGTAAACTGGACCCCTTCCTGATACCTTACACTAAAATTAACTCCAGATAGAATAAAGACTTAAACATAAGACCTAACACCATAAAAACCCTAGAAGAAAACCTAGGCAAAACATTCAGGACATAGGCATAAACAAGGACTTCAAGACTAAAACACCAAAAGCATTGGCAACAAAGGCCAAAATAGACAACCAATGAAAATGTAGGACCAGATTCATAGCTGAATTTTACCAAAAGGTACAAAGAAGAGCTGGACCATTTCTAATGAAACTATTCCAAAAAATTTTAAAGGAGGGACCCCTGCCTAGCTCATTCTATGAGACCAGCACCATCCTGATACCAAAACCCGGCAGAGATACAACTTCAGGCCAATACCCTTGATGAACATAAATGCAAAAATCCTCAACTAAATGCCAGCAAACCAAATCCAGCAGCACATCCAAAAGCTTATCCACCATGATCAAGTTGGCTTCATCCCTGGGATGCAAGGTTGGTTCAACATACACAAATCAGTAAATGCAATTCATTACGTAAACAGAACTAAAGACAAAAACTACATGATTATCTCAATAGGTGCAGAAAAAGACCTTTGATAAAATTCAATTCCCTTTCAGGTTAAAAACGCTCAATAAACTAGGTATTGAAGGAACATCTCTCAAAATAATAAGAGCCATATATAAAAACCCACTGCCAATATCCTACTGAATAGACAAAATCTGGAAGCTTTCCTGTTGAAAACTGGCACAAGACGAGGATACCCACTGTCACCACTCCTAATCAACAAAGCATTGGAAGCTTTGGCCAGGGCTATGAGGCATGAGAAAGAAAGAAAGCATATTCAGATAGGAAGAGAGGAAGTCAAATTATCTTTCTGTGCAGATGGCACGATTTTATATCTAGAAAACCCCATTGTGCCAATCCAAAAACTTCTTTTTTTTTTTTTTGAGACGGAGTTTCGCTCTTGTTACCCAGGCTGGAGTGCAATGGCGCGATCTCGGCTCATTGCAACCTCCGCCTCCTGGGTTCAGGCAATTCTCCTGCCTCAGCCTCCTGAGTAGCTGGGATTACAGGCACACACCACCATGCCCAGCTAATGTTTTGTATTTTTAGTAGAGATGGGGTTTCACCATGTTGACCAGGATAGTCTCAATCTCTTGACCTTGTGATCCACCCGCCTCGGCCTCCCAAAGTGCTGGGATTACAGGCATGAGCCACCGCGCCCGGCCCTCAAAAACTTCTTAAGCTGATAAGCAACTGCAGCAAAGCCCCAGGATACAAAATCAATGCGCAAAAATTGCTTGCATTCCTATGCACAAACAGTAGGCAAGCAGAGAACCAAATCATGAATTGTGAATGAATCCCCATTCACAATTGCTACAAAAAGAATAAAATACCTAGGAATTACAGCTAACAAGGGAAGTGAAGGACCTCTTCAAGCGGAACTACAAAGCTCTGCTCAAAGAAATTAGAGGACACAAACAAATGGAAAAACATTCTATGCTCATGGATAGAAAGAATCAGTATTGTGAAAATGGCCATATGGCCCAAAGTAATATATAGATTCAATGACACTGACATTCTTCATAGAATTAGGAAAAACTTTTAAAATTTATATGGAATCAAAAAAGAGCCCAAATAGCTTTTTCTCTGCAAAAATAAAGAAGAGCCAATATACAAATTATTGATGTGTCTTTCTGTCATGAACTTTGCTTGTCTTATAATAGTTTATTGTACACCAAGCACTGTGTATAAAAGAACTATAGAGTCTGAAGATGTTATTTGTCACCAGAGGTGATTCTTCCTTTTCTCATTTAGAATGAGGGACTGAGATTATGTTTTAATCAGTGGTTGAGCTGGATAAGAGCTGGAATGCAGTTTTGGTAAGATTAACTCACATTTTGTTCTCCTCTGTTCTTTGGGCATGGCTTTCATGGGCTTTAAATTTAAAAAGTGGAAGTTTCTGAATCCTCAGCCATGAAAATTTAGGGAGATTCAATTCTATCCTTTGAATGTGTTGGCCTTAACTTTTTAACCTTCAATACCACACATCTTCAAAATTTAATATAGGTCTTTATGAGAAGACCAACCGGGTATTTGCAAGACTGCCTTGCAGACACTGTAAGAATTGTAAAAGACTTCATAGAGACTTCATATGTTTCTGACCTAGCCCTGCCTCAGCCTTTAAAAACACTACATAACTCAGCAAATATCCTGTGGTAAAAATTGGATATGACATGTGATGCTGCTCTAAATTTTTATACCTGCCTGCGTAGTTGTCCAAAGTTCTGATGGTTCATTCTTTCAAGGGATGAAAATAACTGAGATTGTCAGCTCATATAAGAAAGACTCTTCCCTCTCTAGAATTTTAAATTCTCCCTTTCCCATTTTTTTCATTGTCCTTAAAATAGCATTTTTGTAATATCTCTAGGTTTTTCTAATTATTGATGTGGAAACATTGACTATAAGAACTACAATATCCTACTTAGAAGCAGAAGTCTCAAGTTGATTTTTTTAAAATCCGTCTTTATTCTTCTTACAAAAAACAAAACTTAACCCCCCCAGGAAAGCTGAAAACAAAGCAAAAGAAAAAAACATATGATGTAACTATTTACCAAAAGAAAGATAGCATAGTAGTATTTATATGAGATAAATTAAAAGTTAAGGAAGAAGGCATTGGTGAGTATAAATGTGTATGTACCAAAAATATTGCCTAGAAATATATAAAGCAAAAATGTTCAGACTCTCATGGATTAACTGATAAATGCATAACTACAGTGTACTATTTTAATGGTCCTCTCTTAAATAACAATATTTAAATCTATTAAAGAATATTAGGAAAACATTAGTACATTTGGCATAAGTGTATGTTTATTACAGTGCATTCAACAGTCAAGACTAAACATTCTTTTCAAGTGAAGATACAAGTGGAGCAATTACAAACGTTTTCCACATACTGTCATAAATGAAATCTCAGCAGTATATAGACTATTTCTTTCCTACTGCTCCTCACCAACTGATGTTTTGTCTTTCTTTTTAACCTAAATTAAACATGGTTAATGATTATATTTACTTATTTGTACTCACCTTCGACCCTTTTGCAATTCTTCACCTTTTCAGTTCACTGAAAAAGACACAAACCTAATTAAAGATAATTCTCCACACCTGAATTTGAGCACCTACTGTGTATATAGAAATCATACAATCGACCAGGCGCGGTGGCTCACGCCTGTAATCCCAGCACTTTGGGAGGCCAAGGCGGGTGGATCACGAGGTCAAGAGATTGAGACCATCCTGGTCAACATGGTGAAAACCCGTCTCTACTAAAAATACAAAAAAAATTAACTGGGCATGGTGGTGCGTGCCTGTAATCCCAGCTACTCAGGAGGCTGAGGCAGGAGAATTACCTGAACCCAGGAGGTGGAGGTTGCGGTGAACCGAGATCACACCATTGCACTCAGTGGGTAACAAGAGTGAAACTCCATCTCAAAAAAAAAAAAAAGAAAAGAAATCATACAATCATGCCGAGTAGTGTCATTTTTAATTTATAATTATGTAACTTAAATTGGCCTTAATTCTGTCGATCATACTGCATTCCCTATTACTTTATTTCTCCCCTTCACCTAGACAACTACTTCCACCTTTATTTCTCTTCAAATCTCCAGCACCACCTCTCCATCTTCAATCTCAGATGGTGACTTTGCTTTCTACTTCAATTAGAAATTTAAAGCAATGAAAACTTCCACAAATTCCAACCACCACATCTACCCAATTACCAGCATTATGTACCATATTCTCTCTTTCCGTTCTGTGTTCCTATCTAAGGTCAACTTTTCCTAGTAACCTCATTTACTCCTCCAAGTATCCCATGAATTGGTGTTGATGGTGGTATCATTTGATTGTTGGGGGGAAAGGTTCAAAGTGAAATCATTAGGGAAGAACTGTTCTAGCTCTGTGTTTTCTATCCCCTTGTTATTCAAAGGGTGGTTCCTCAGAACAGCAGCATCACCAATACCTGTGATGTTGTTTGGCCCCAGACCTAATTAATTTTAAAAGGGGATGCATTTTAAAAAGATTCTCAAGTGTTTCTTATTCTCTTTCATATTTAAAGAACATTCCTGTATACCAGTCTGTCCTTTCCCAAGTGCATTTCATTATAGTATAGTGGCACCAATTATTTTAAAAATAAAATTGGTCCTTTCTGCCCATGGACGCCACTGAGGCAGCATCGTTAAAGTCTTTCTTCTCCCCGCGATCATGTCTAAGTCAGAGTTTCCTAAAGAGCCTGAACAGCTGAGGAAGCTCTTCATTGGAGGATTGAGCTTTGAAATAACCGATGAGAGCCTCAGGAGCCATTTTGAGCAATGGGGAATGTTCACAGACTGTGTGGTCATGAGAGATCCAAACATTAAGCGCTCCAGGGGCTTTGGGTTCATCACGTATGCAACTGTGGAGGAGGTGGATGCAGTCATGAATGCAAGGCCACACAAAGTGGATGGAAGAGTTGTGGAACCAAAGAGAGCTGTCTCAAGAAAAGATTCTCAAATATCAGGTGCCCACTTAACTGAAAAAAATATTCTTTGGTGGCATTAAAGAAGACACTGAAGAACATCACCTAAGAGATTATTTTGAACAGTATGGAAAAATTGAAGTGATTGAAATCATGACCGACAGAGGCAGTGGCAAGAAAAGGGGCTTTGCCTTTTTAACCTTTGATGACCATGACTCCATGGATAAGATTGTCATTCAGAAATACCATACTGTGAATGGCCACAACTGTGAAGTTAGGAAAGCCCTGTCAAAGCAAGAGATGGCTAGTGCTTCATCCAGCCAAAGAGGTCGAAGTGGCTCTGGAAACTTTGGTGGTGGTCGTGGAGGTAGTTTTGGTGGGAATGACAATTTTGGTCGTGGAGAAAACTTCAATGGTCATGGTGGCTTTGGTGGCATCCATCGTGGTGGTGGATATGGTGGCAGTGGGGATGGCTATAATGGATTTGGTAATGATGGAGGCAATTTTGGAGGTGGTGGAAGCTACAATGATTTTGGCAGTTACAACAATCAGTCTTCAAATTTTGGACCCATGAAGGGAGGAAAGTTTGGAGGCAGAAGCTCTGGCCCCTATGGTGGTGGCGGCCAATACTTTGCCAAACCACAAAACCAAGGTGGCTATGGTGGTTCCAGTAGCAGCAGTAGCTATGGCAGTGGCAGAAGATTTTAATTAGGAAACAAAGCTTAGCAGGAGGGGAGAGCCAGAGAAGTGACAGGGAAGCTACAGGTTACAACAGATTTGTGAACTCAGCCAAGCACAGTGGTGGCATGGCCTAGCTGCTACAAAGAAGACATGATTTAGACAAATATTCATGTGTATGGGCAAAAAACTCGAGGACTGTATTTTAGACTTATTGTATAACAGGTTAGTTTAGTTTCTGTTCTGTGGAAAGTGTAAAGCATTCCAACAAAGGGTTTTAATGTAGATTTTTTTTTCTTTTTTTTTTTTTTTGCACCCATGCTGTTAATTGCTAAATGTAATAGTCTGATCGTGACGCTGAATAAATGTCTTTTTTTAAATAAATAAATAAATAAAAATAAAATTGCTTCTTAGATCATGTTTTACTAGAAGTCAGTTCATCTCCAGGGTACTAACTAATTCAAGCCCTCCACAATTCTGTTAGTTTCTTGCAAATGAAGTTTCTGATGGTGATGGTGTTCCTTCTTTTGGTGTGATTTATTTGATTATGTTTGAATTCAGTTAGTCTCAGTAGTCAGGGTAGGAGCTTGGTGGTAGCCAGATCAAAGAATTTGGAATTACCAGCCTTATAAGAGATAATTTCTGTTGTATTCATTCATTTTAACTGTTAATTTCTTATTCACTGAAAAAGAACTTGGTCTAATTAAAAACAGAACAAAATTTTGCAAATTTGAGCTTGGTCTGTGGACTTATTTTAAGGCATACTGTTAGTGGTGAATATTGGGAACCCACCTATGGAAAAAGTTTGAGAGCCTATAATTTATTTTTTTAAATATGGAATTTAGTGTTAGTTTTTTGTTAAGTATAGAAGTCTTACTTACAGTAAACATTCTGATGGAAATATTTTAGTTAAAGGATGGGAAACTGACAATACGTCATTAAGAGTTCTGCTAGCATTTTTCCCATTAGAGCACAATGACTCCAAACAAAGAGGAAATGATATGGGTGAACCACCGCATCCTCCATTTACATGAAGAGGAAAACACATTGAGCTCTTGTGAAAGTTTTATGTCTTCTACATTTGAGCCCTCTGACCATATTTTGAAAGAAACATGCATTTCAAATAAAGTATGCAAACACTGAACTTTCCAAAGCAAAAATTTTGTTATCCCTTTCATTGCATTATTTCAAGGTTTTAAATATTTAAATTAAAAATACTCCACTTTATTCCTCTACAGTATCAGGTAACTATGCACTCCTTGACTCGCCTTTTCTTCATGATTTTCATGGTTGTTGTATTGATCCATTCCTTTGCTATTACAAAGAGCTACACTCAGCTAACAAAAAGTTTCAAGACCTTGGCAAACATTTCAAAATTATTAGATTACAAAAAGTAAATGAGATATAATTGCTTTCATCTTCCAATAGACTATCATGTTACCTTTCTCCATTACAAATAATCTGTGGGGAAATTAAGTTTATGACCATTTCAAATAATTAGGCTCATTAACAGCTTATGACTTAAGAGGTAAAGCCACATCATTCACATCATTTAGTAACCAACTATAATATTTAAATGAGCTCATAATTACCCACCAGTTATTTGAATCATCCTCAAAGATTTGAGTTCAATGCATTATTTACTGACAGACACATTTTTAAAAGCTTCTTACACTTGGATAACCATTCCATCTGAATGTCTTCACTCTTTGTCTTCTTCACATGCTTAAAGTAAGGACACTTGGGATGGTCTTTTCATTGTCTTGCCTTGTTACTCAACCTCATTTTTATGTACATTCCATTGCCTGAATTCAATTTCCATGTTTGAACCCCTGCAAATCTAATGAGTTCTTAAGACCTCACTGACTACCTCATCCCACAGTCTCTTTTGCATCCTAAAAGTTTCATTTCTGACCCAATATATTTTCCCCTTTATCTCATAATAACTTTATAATAGATGTTGAATTTTCCAAAACTATGACTTGTAATGTGTTTTATCAGCCTGTTTGATCATAAGTGACTGTAAAAGGCTGTATTGTTTACTTGTCTTGAAACTTGCAGTGTTTCTCATAGTCTACTGTTACTAAACCAAACGTGGGTCTGCTTGCCTGGCACAGTAAAGCCAAACACCCACACCAAGGTTTGCAGCAAGAGTAAGGAGGGCATTTATTTGCAGGGTGCCAAGCAAGGAGAATTGGGCAGCTAATTCTTCAGAGCTGGCCTCCCCAGTGGCCCAAAAGCAAGGGCTCTTAAAAGCAGAGGTGTATTTTAGGAAAGCAGAAGTTACAGTCAAAACTGTAAATCAACCTGGGGATTATATTAATATATTTGTTTTGCCCAAAATGGCAGGCTCTCTTCAAGTGGGGCTTACAGGGCATAGGTGGATTCAGATATTCTTTGGTTTACAGTTGCTTAGGGAAGTCAAGACTTTGTTTAAAAACTTGGGGTCATCAGAAGGGAATGTTGTGATTTGACCAGTGGGCGTTACGCTCTTTGTGCCCTTCAGGAAAAAATTTAGAACAAAGAACAGCAAGCAGATTTCATATTCCCCTTATCTGAAGTCTATGTAACTGTGGTTGGCATTTTTCATCTGATGGGGTCTGGGTTTCTGAAAAACAACTTAGGGACATGTGTCATCTTTAGTTTCTATAGGGAACCAAACGTTTTGTCCTTCTTGCTTATTGAATTGCTGATTTACTTGTCAAGGCTAGCTATATGCCTGGAATTTCTCTTGAAGGGACTCAAGACTTTTCCCTTATTTTCATGCTTGGGGTGTCTGAGCAGGCCCCTAAGAGGGGTCTCTGCTGTGTCTTGCTACAAGAGCTGTTTTTAAAATAAATGTGTGAATAAATGAATAAATGGAAAATAGCTGATTTAGGCTGAAGAAATCACATTTGTGAGTTTTTTTCCTGCTTAGTAGAGGTAGATTAATTTGATCTATCTCTTCATGTCTTAATTCATATAATCTAAAATAACATAATTTGAACATAAATTAAATTTTTAAAAGGTCTCACTTTTACAAATAAACTAGAACTAGTTTTGGATCTTTATGTCATGGTCTTCCTAAGAACAATTCTTTCCAATGGAAATACCAGATTAATAGCAGTGTCTCAGTTGTTAGGCTGTTTCAAGGAAGGGATAAGTGAAAGGTATGGCAAAGCACATAGGTCAGTTCATATTGGATGTCACATATTTAAAGATTTTATTATGAAAACAATGGGCAATGTATTTGTATATATATTTAAATATGTACCTGCCCATTTTTTCACATAAGGATTCTTTTCATAGCTGTACATAAATGCATTGAATACAGCAGCATAAAATAACATTTTAAATAAGCAGATAAGGAAAAGAGGGTTAAAATTGTGATAGGAGAGAAGATAAAAGCCTGAAATTAGGTTAGAATGTGAAATCTTATTCAAAAATCTTTTACTTTTGCTAGACTTGGCCCATGAATTAGATTGGCTCTGAGCATTTTATCTGTCAAGGCAAAGGAAATGATAGTGCCATTTTGGATAACTGGGAAGTATCCCAAAACAAAACAATATGCACATCAAGTACACCTATTCTTTATACTAACACAAGATAGTATATTTTTTCTTGTGGATCCCTGTATCAAACAGGATGGACAGAATTATGCTATAGTAACAAACATTAGCAAAATTTTAGTGGCTTATGCTAACAAAGATTTATTTTTCACTTGCACTGTGTGTTCATTGCATATAAGATGGGGTCTCTATCTACTATAGTAACTCATACATACAAGCCAAAGGAGACTTTCATTTATAATCAGTGCAGCAGGAGGAAGAGAAATGGGTGGCTGGAATATTGGTTCTTAAAGCTTCCATTTGGAAAAGACACATTGCATCTGAGCTCAAATTTCTTCATTTCATTGCCCACAGCAAGTCCCATGTTCATACTTACCTTAACAAACTTAAAGATAGTTTGCAGTCCAACCTTGTGCCTTGGAAGGATGAAAAGGTGAATATTTCTGAAGAGCCAAATTGATTGCCACATTCTCCCTAGAGAAGCATTGCATAATGTAAAAAGTTGTGTTGACATATAAAATATCACCAGAACTGAGTCTATGACATTGCACTGTGTTGACCAAGGGCATAAAGACAAGGCAAAAGCTGATAAAAATGGTTCTACCAGTGGCTACGAAAAATCAGTTCTGATACATAGCTCTTTACTGGTCTACCTTAATTCAGGAATATGTTTCAGATTGCCTAAAGAAATAGATAAGTTACTCCTAAATATATATTGCTTCTCTCAACAAAGATTTTATATATATGAACTAATAGTAGTTTGCATTTATATCCCTTCAGAATTAATATTAACAATATTAATATTAATAATCTTAATAACAATATTAATGTTTTTCTTCTTTTTAAAAATTTAATAGCTTTTGAGGTACAAGTGTTTTTGTTACATGGATGAATTACATGGTGCTGAATTCTGAGATTTTAGTGCACCTATCACCCAAGTAGTGTACATTTTACCTCTAATGTGTAGTTTTTTATCCTTAGCCCTCCTCTCATCCTCCAATTTCTGAGTCTCTAAAATCCATTATATCACTCTGTACCCCTTTGCATACTCAGAGCTACGCTCCCACTTAGAAGTGAGAAGATAAGGCTTTTGGTTTTGCACTGCTATGCTATTTCGCTTACAATAATGGCCTCCAGCTCCAAGTAGCTGCAAAAGACATTATTTCATTCCTCTTAATGGCTGAGTAGTATTCCGTGGTGTGTGTATGTACCACATTTTCTTTATCCACTCATTAGTTGATGGGCACTTAAGTTGGTTCTATGTATTTGCAATTGTGAATTTTACGACTATAAACCTACATGGGCAAGTGTCATATATATATATATAATGACTTCTTCCTTTGGGTAGATACTCCATAGTGGGATTACTGGATCAAATGGTAGTGCTGCTTTTAACTCCTCAAGGCCTCTCCATTACTGTTTTCCATAGAAGTTGTACCAGTTTACTTTCCCATCAATAGTGAATAAGCATTCCCTTTTCCTCACATGTGTGCCAACCTCTATTTTTTTTGACTTTTTATTAGTAATAATGGTCATTCTTTCAGGATTCATTGTGGTATCTCATTGTCCTTTTAATTTCCATTTCTCTGATGATACTGAGCATTTTTTTATATGTTTGTTGGCCATTTGTATATCTTCTCTTGAGAAATGACTATTCATGTCCTTTGCCCACTTTTTAATGGAATTATTTGTGGTTTTTTATTGGTAATTTGTTTGAGTTCCTTGTACATTCTGGATACTAGTTATTTTTTGGATGTGTGTTTGCAAATATTTTCTCCCATTCCATGGGTTTTCTGATTAGTCTGTTAATTATTTCTTTTGTTGTGCAAAAGATTTTTAGTCTAATTAGGTTCCATTTATTTATTTTTATTTTTGTTACATTTGCTTTTCAGATCTTTGTTATAAATTTTTTGCCCAGGCTAATGTCTAGAAGAGTTTTTCCAATGTTGTCTTCTAGAATTTTTACAGTTTCAGGTCCTATATATAAGTCACTGATTCATCTTGAGTTGATTTTTGTGTAAGGTGAGAAATAGGAATTCAGTTTCATTCTTCTTCTACATGTGGCTTTCCAGTTTTTCCAGTACCATTTCATGTAATAAATAATGTCAATTCCCCAACTTATGTTTTTGTATACTTTATTGAAGATCAATTGGCTGTACATATTTGGCTTTATTTCTGGGTTATCTATTCTGTTCCATTGGTCTAGGTGCCTACTTTTATACCATTACCATGCTGTTTTAGTAACTATAGGCTTATAGTATAATTTGAAGTCTGGTAGTGTGATGCCTCCAGATTTGTTCTTTGTGCTTAGAATTTTGTAGCTATTTTTTTTGTTCCCATATGAATTTTAGGATTGTTGTTCTAGTTATGTGAAAAACAATGGTGGTATTTTTATGGGAATTGTATTAAATCTGTAGATTACTTTTGGCAGTATGGTCATTTGTACAATATTGATTCTTCCAATCCATGAGCATGAAATGTGTTTTCACTGGTTGTGTCATCATAATTCTTTCAGCAGTGTTTTGTAGTTCTCCTTATAGAGACCTTTCACCTCCATGGTTAAATATATTCCTAGATATTTTATTTATTTTTTATTTTTTTGCCGCTGTTTAAAAGGGATACCATTCTTGATTTGATTATCAGCTTGATCATCAACAATGACATTGTTGTACATTGACTTTGAAACCTGAGACTTTATTGAATTCATTTATTAAATCTAAGAGTTTTTAGGAGGAGTCCTTAGGATTTTCTAGGTGTGCAATCATATCATCTGCAAACAGTGTTAGTTGGACTTCGTCTCTTCCAGTTTCAATGTCCTTTATCTCTTTCTCTTGCCTAACTGGTCTGGTTAGTACTTCCAGAACTGTATTGAATAGGAGTGGTGAAAGTGGGCATCCTTGTCTTGTTTCTATTCTCAGGGGAAATGCTTAAAACTTTTCCCCATTCAATAAGATGTTGGCTGTGCATTTGTCATATATGGCTTTTATCATTTTGAGGTAGGTGCCTTCTTGCCTGGTTCTTATTATAAAGGGATGCTGTCTTTTATAAAATGCTTTTTCTGCATCTATTAAGATAATATGGTTTTTGCTTTTAATTCTGTTTATGTGATGTATCACACGTATTGACTTGCATATGTTAAACATCCCAGTATCCCTGGAATGAAACCCACTTGACCATGATAAATTACCTCTTTGACATCCTTTGGAATTTGGTTAGCTAGTATTTTGTTGAGGATTTTTTAATCTGTGTTCATAAGGAAAATTGATCTGTAGTTTTCTTTTTTTGTTGTGACTTTTCCTGGTTTTGGTATCTGGATGATACTAGCTTCATAGAATGATTTAGGGAGGATTTTTTCCTTCTCAATCTTCTGGAATAGTTTCAGTAGGATTAGTACCAATTCTTTGAATGTCTGGTAGAATTCAGGTATGACTCCATCTGGTCCTGGGATTTTATTTTCTTGATAATTTTTAAATTACTGATTCTGTCTCATCACTTCTTACTAACCTTTCCAAGGTTTCTATTCCTGATTTAATATAGGAGAACTGTATGTTTCCAGGAATTTGTCCATTTCCTTTAGGTTTTCTAGTTTGTGCACATAAAGATATTCATAGTAGTCTCTAATTCTTCTTGTAGTTCTGTGATATGGGTCGTAATATCTCCAGTTTCATTTCTAATTGAGCTTATGTGGATCCTCCCTCTTCTTTACTTGGTTAATCTACCTAATGGTCTATCAATTTTGTTTATTTTTTCAAAGAACCACCTTTTTGTTTCATTGATCTTTTGTACTGTTTTGTTTGTTTGAATTTTATTTACTTCTGTTCTGGTCCTTTTTATTTTCTTCTAGCTTCAGGTTCAGTTTGTCCTTGTTTCTCTAGTTCCTTCATTTTTGACATTAGGTTATCAATTTATGCTCTTTCAGACTTCTGATATAGGCATTTAGCACTATAAACTTTCCTCTAAGCACTGCTTTTCCTGTATCCAAGAGGTTTTGATAACTTGTGCCATTATCATCATTCAATTCAAATAACTTTTACATTTCCATCATGATGTCATTGTTAACCCAGATATCGGTGAGTAGCAGATTATTTAATTTCCACGTATTTGTGTAGTTTAGAGCGTTTCTTTTAGAGTTGATTTCTAGCTTTATTCCACTGTGGCCTGAGAAGATACTTGATATGATTTTGATTTTTTCAAATTTATTGAGACACGTTTTATGTCCTATTATATGGTCTATCTTGGAGAATGTTCCATGTGCTCATGAGAAGAATGTATATTCTAGATATCTTAGGTAGCATGTTCTGTAAATATCTTTAAGTTCATTTGTTCTAGCATGTCATTTAAGTCCACTATTCCTCTGTTGACTTTCTGTCCTGAAGATCTGTCTAGTGCTGAGTCTCCCACTATTACTGTTTTGTTGTCTATCTCATTTCTTTGGGAAATAACCTAGGGAGACACTGGCTGGCACAGCCAAAGGAGGGCTTGCACCATCCCTCCCCCAACCCCAGACAGTGAAGCTTATAGCAACAAAGGTGACTACTTTCTTTTGCTTAAGGGGAGAGCAAAGAGTAAAGAAAACTTTGTCTTGCATCTTGGATAGCTACTAGGCCACAGCAATATAGGCCACCAGGTAGAGTCCTGAGGCCCCCATTTCAGGCCCTAGCTCCTGGATGGCATTTCGAGTCACACCCTGGGTCAAAAGGGAAGCTGCTTCCTTGAATGGAAGGACCTAGTCTTGGCAGGATCCATCACCTGCTGACTAAAGAGCCTTTGGTTCCTGAATAACAAACAGTGATACCTAGGGAGTACACCATGGGCCTTGGATTCTGAGGTGTGCTGGCTTAAGTGGAGACCCAGCACAAAACCAGCTGTCGTGGCTACAGTGAAAGACTACATCTATTTGAGAGAAGCAGAGGGGCAAGTAGAGAGGACTTTCTCTTGCATTGTAGGTACTAGCTCAGTCATAATGGGGTAGAGCAACAAGCAGACCCTTGGGGTCCTTGCTTCCTGGGCTAAGCTCTTGGAAAACATTTCTGGGCCTGCTCTGGACCATAGGGGAGCCCACTCTCCTGAAGGGTGAGTTCCAGGCTTGGAAGTATTAACCACACCTGACAGAAGAGCCCTTGGGCTTTAAGCAAACATGGTGGTGGTTCTGGCCACAGGGAGGAGCTCCTCTGCCTGTTGAAAGTAGAGAGAAGAGCAAGAAAAACTTTGTATTATGGTTTGAATGCCAGCTTAGCCACAGTAGAATAAACATCAGGTAAATTGCTAAGGTTTTAGACTCCAATCACTGGCTCTAAGACTGTATCTCTGGACATGCTTGAACTCATAAGGGAAGAGGATTCTCTGATGATTCAGTGGTCATTAATCTGTCTGGGGGTGAGGTGGGAGGAAATATTTCC